CAGTTTAATCTATTATAACAATGGTAAAATACATCATAATATTTAAGGGTTGTAATAAATGATCTGTGAAATTGCTTGAATTTAAGGCACGTGCAAACATTACTTGGTCCATGGAAATTGGTCACTATGTCATTTTGTACATATAGTTGCAATTTCAGCCAGGCAGTGTTCAAATACACCATGGGGATAGATCTGTATGATATATTTAATGTGATTATTGAATTAACTCAGTTTCTGAGTTTGTGCAACATATTCAATAACAAATAACCAAGTGCTTTGTACAATATGCTAAGACCTACATACACAACTAATCAAGGTTAAAACCTAAGTGTACACATAGTTATTGTGTCTTTTACTGATCTAGTTAAACATCGTGTATGTGTGTGTGTGTGTGTAGGAACAGAGAGAATGTGAGTTGAATTCTTTCTTCTTCCTCTAGCATATGTACATCCTTTAACCTCCTTTCCGTTCCAATGAAAAAGTAGCAGTTAAAATTTTTGAGAGGAAAACCTTTACTGAAATAATATTTTCACATAAATTGCCTCTAACTCTGATTCTTGTCTATGCAGATACGGACAAGAACTCCTTTTCCTGAAACATGGATCCAACTATAACATTATCACAAGTTGATGTCTACCAGTTCCTCTACATACAATTTTCCCCATCTCTCCTATATTACTAATGGATATACAGAGTATTGCTTCTTGAAACGAACAATCTGAATCTCTTAAATCCTGTTAAGTAATCTTATTGCCAGCGTACAGTAGCAAGGAGGATTTTACTAGGGTATATATAGTTAGTACTTAAATTTAAATGAGGAAAGATAACTATGGGACAGAAGAATCTATAGGATGGAGGCAGTTGACAATTACCCCTCCCCCATCTTTCCCACAGATATTTCTGTCTTGAGAATGATAGATGTATTAAGCAACTATATATCAGTATACTAATATACTTAAGTGATACAACAGGTATGTTTTGCTATGAAGAAGCCAAATGTGAATGTATGGGTCATTTTTGACTTATGGACTTTTATTTAAAACAACTGTTCAAAGTTACAATGGGACTGGAATAATTCTGGTCCTTGCACTTATGACTTCTGCATAAGCCCCATAGTCACGATTGCAATTCAGGCACTTGGCAACTGTCTTGCATTTATGACTGGTTGCAATGTCGTGCAGAAACTTAATTGTAATTTGTGACCTTTTTTGCCCGTTTTTGCCCGCAAAAAAAAAAGCCCATTTCAGAAGAATGGGTTCACACTTATGGCTGTGGGGTTTACTTAACAGCTGCAGATACACCTAAAAATGATAAAATTGGGTTCGACTTAACTTGCAACCAGTGACATCTGACAGAAATTCTGATCCTAAATTGGTCATAAGTTGAGGGGCTACCTATATGCTTATAAACATACGAATTTGCAAGATTTTTCTCATTGTTAAATTATCAAAAAAAATGGTTAAGCATGATTGCTTAATTTATATAAAATCAGTGTATTGCACTAATTAAATCTTGCTTTTATGGAATATCAGACATACCAACCAGAGTAATAAAGCTTTAAAAATGTAGTGTCAAAGGACTTCTAACTTTATACAATGTTTATTGTTTATGGGAGTACAGGTAGTCCTCGACTTACCACAGTTCATTTAGTGACTGTTCACATTTACAACCTCACTGAAAAAAGTGACTTATGGCCATTTTTCATACTTGTGATTGTTGCAGCATCCCCATTGTCACATGATCAAAATTCCAAGAAGTAAAGTCAATGAGGAAGCCCAATTCACATAAAAACGATGTCACTAACTTAACAACTGTGGTGATTCACTTAACAACTGTGTCAAGAAAGGTTATAAAATGGGACAAAATTCACTTAACAAATGTCTCACTTAGCATCAAAAAAATTGGACCTCAATTGTGGTCGTAAGTCAAGGATGACCTGTACATACAATGTCTTACTTGCAACTATAGTACAATTCTTCATTGTTAGTTATGAATATGTTTATAAGCATATCGATTTTTGAATGTTAAAGGGAGGAATGAGAATTGCACTCCTAATATGTTAGCACTATTACTTTACCAGCACATCTGGGATTTTCAAATTGCTCTGGGCATTATGCATGCAAATTGCTAAATACTGTCTGTCTCTACTCAATTAATTACATCAACACTATGGCATGGTTAGGCAGACTCAGCTGGGTTAAAACTAAGGAGAAACAGGCATTGTAATGCACTGTCTGCCCATTTATTATGTCGTGATTTCTGCAAGTAGGTTAAAAGGCTGGAAGGAATCCCGGCTTATACTTAGTAAACTGACGTCAATAGATTACAGCAATCCTCTCCTCTATGCAAGCTTTTCTGCCCTAGAGCCAGTCAAACACTCAACTAATCTCCACCTGTGAAACACCAGCCAAGACTCAGAATTAAGGCTAGAAGATAATTTCCTCAGTATCAAGGATTTATCAAAATTATCCTAGTTAACTACTTAATGTTAATTGCATTTACATGACTTTGTTTTACAACTCAAAAGCACTCTTGTTACTTTGATGATTAAAAGGTATCTGAAAGTTTGTGATTTACATGTGCGTGAATACGTATGCATTTATGACAATGTACTATGTCACACAGTGTGAATAAACTATGTACAGCATTGTTCCTGGGAACACAGAACGCCTACTTAGGATTATTTGGAACAAGCATCTTTATCTACTCTATATATCTTGGAAAGAAATTTTGTGGCAGCAGTCTTTGGTATACAAAGAAAACAAAAAACTTTTGAGCAAGGAGGTCCATTTTTAAAAAAAGGCAGAAATCAGTTTTTCATAGGATGAACAGTTTTAAAAATTAGTGTTCATGCTCAAGAACATCTACTTGGATTATACAATGTCAAAGAAACCCTGCAGTCACCAGCACTGTCTTAGAGGCTTCCTGAATTAATTTTTGGCTACGATAAAGTAAAACATAGCTGAAAGTTAGTATACATAGGACTGCATAGCTAGGGCAGATGGCACACAGAATTTACAATTAGTAACAAAGAAATCAAAACGGACACAGTTTTATTTTAAGGATAAGATAAAACCAACCATTGTGTGCCTGCAGTATAAATTTTCACTGCTGATGTAAAGGATGGCATCATTCAATCTGACCTTCAAAGTGATTATGGCAACTCAGCTTGTTGTATTCTTATAGAAAACCTTGGCTGGATGGTGCTATTTATGAAGTGATGGGAAAAGTGGATCATTTATGGAATGTTTCTTTTACTCAGCACCATTAAAGATTCTTCTGATATTATTTACAATCACAATTCCAGCACCATTCTAATATTATGATAGATAAAATATGTCAACCAATTAAAGGAAAAGCAAAATATATAGCTAAAGTAATCTGCTGTCTATAAAAGTTAGTTATAGGGTATTTTTATTGTTCCTAGAATATTTTCACAAAAATTAAAGCTAGCAAAACTTGATTTGAAAAAATCTTAGGAAACAACGTTACCCCATATGACCAAAAAAAACCTTCTTACTATCCTTAAGTATTTAATTAAGCTTACTACATTAGATGTAATACAAATATGAGAAGCAGTCAGCTACTAATGGCTAAAGGGCAGAGGCGACTAAAATTAGACCAGTTGTTCACATATCCTTGCACTTAGCGTGCATACAAAAAATGTGCTATTTGTATTGCATTTTTACTTGCAAATAATCATTTTTCAGCTGCCAGCATTAAGTGATATTCAAGACCACTTCATACATTTTGTTTTTAAGCAAATGACTATATTTTAAATATTTCCCTAAAAATGTAAAATAATAAATGCAAAAAAAAAAGCTTTCTTGGAAATAGATGTGTTATAGAGGAACGTTAACCAAAGTGGGGGGCTCAGTAAAAAATGTATATTGTCTGAAAAAAATCAAAATTTGCTATCATACAATTGATCTAAGTAAATGCAGAATCAAAGCATCCTGAAAGTTTTGCCATGCAAGAATTTGGTACAACTGTAATTAACAGAATCCAGTAGTTAAATACCCAGAAGTGCAGAGAAAAATTATCATGACTATATTACATTACGTTCTTAGTATTAAAGAGTAGTGCTTCTTCTAATCAGATGTGATCTGACAAACAGGCGTACAGAGATAAACTAAAACGCAACCAAGAGAATAAAGCAAAATAGGTGATATCCACTACCTCTTGAAATGTTAAATCACTTTAATATGACAGAAAGTTGCCATCTAAGCAGAGGTGGCAGTGGGTTTTTTCTAGCACTGAGTACTGAGTGGGCATGCAGAGGAAGGTCTCTCTGGGGTGGTTCAACATCGTGGTAAGTTGTAAATTGATGATGTTGGTTTAACATCTTAAGTTAGAAAAGAATTTCTGTACAACCTTTAAATGGCATACGAAACTTTAGATTTTAATATAATTTATTCTTAGCACCCACCCAAGCTGATCTTCTTTCTCTCTTACTTTGAAGGACAAACAGTTGAGAGTTTCAAAATCTGTACTGCTTTTCAAGTTTGCCCTCTAATTAATCCATAGCTAGTGACATACACCTAGTGTTTAATACAACTAGGTTTGTGGGCAAAGTTTTATATTTTTATATGTGTTTACCTAGGACCAATTCTTTATAGAGTTTCAACTGAATTTGCTTCCAAGCAACCATGCATAAAATGGGATATCCATCCATACACGTTACCAATTTTTCAGCCCAATTTTGTGCATCCTTTTTACAGGGAAGCTGCAGAAGTGGACAATAATTGCTGCCAGGATGGCAGACCAAAGGAGCTCTTTTTAATCCAGATCTGATGAACCTATCTTAGATAACAGATCAAGACAGCGCTATTCTGTTGCACACAGCTTCTCCCAAAGCTGAGATAGATGTACGTTTTCCTTCTGAGCCTTCAGGTTTGGCGGGGAAAACAAAGCAAGGCACAGAAGAAACTGAAGGGGCGGGATGGGATGGGGTGCTTGGATAGATGGAAACACACGGGGCGGGGGGGGGGGGTTCCTACCTTATTCGAGGCCATTTCACTGACGGAGTGCCTAGTCTGCAAGGTTTCCAGCTGGTCCAGGCACCAGTCCAGCTCCTCCAGGGTCTCGCTGGCCAGTTTTTGGTAGGCCTCCTCTGCGAAGAGATAGGGAAAGGAGTACTCAGTTCGCAATCGTTTCACGGGGCTAACAGCAAGCTCCAGCGGGTCCATCCTGCCATACCCAGCCATGGGTGGATGCCCAGTGCCCACACATGAGTTCTGCTCCTTCATATTGCTGTGCCCGAGCAAGAAGGAGAAAAGGCGGGCTCTGGTCTCCGGCGGGAATGACGAAAAAACAAAAGTCGCTCCAGCCTTTTCGTATCAACTCCAGCTGAGACGCTCGGCGGGTAGGCGGGCGCTCTCCGCAGCGCTGCTCCGAGGGGACCGAAGCGCGGCCGGTTCTCTCACGGAGCGCGAGTCCCTTCACTCTCGGAGAGCGTGAGGCGGGCAAGAATCGTGCCACTCGGGGCGAACTGGGACTGTGCTCTCTGGCAAACCCGAGACTTAAGGCGACACGCAGCCGACCAACCGCTCTCCTCCCTGGGGCTGGAGGCAGCCAAGCAGCCAACACCTTCCTCCTCCTCCTCCTCCTCTCCGTCCTCCTTCGGGCGAGTTTCAAGCCCCAGTGAATCAGAGCAGCGGCTGCCGGGTGTGCAAAAGCCACCACGTTTCCTGTTTGCTCAACTTCTCTGCGAGACAGCGGCAAAGCTGAAACTCGGCTCTGAGGCTACAGCTCCAAGGGAAGAGCCTCCGTTCCTCCAACCCTTCCGCGATTTCCTTCCTTCCTCGCAGAGAAACCTCGTTTTTTTTTCTCCCCTTCCCTGCCCAGAGAATCTTAATTAAAACATCCACTCGCTCTTTCGTCCACCTCTCCCCTCCCCAACTCCTCCTTATTGTTTGGTGTTTTCTCCTGAGATGGGAGGAGAACAGCGCCGTGGCGCTTTCAGCCTTTGAACCGGCGCCGCCGAGAGTTTTGGCGAAGAAGGGGTTGCGTGTGGTGCAGCTGTATAGGGGAAGTGGGGGGGGGGGAGAGAAAGAGAAAACTCGGCGAGGAGTTGGGGACTTGCTCCACTCCGCCTCCTCCAGGGCGGCGTTAAGGCTGGCGCTGCTCTGTAGGACGTGCGGAGAGCTCCGGCTGGGCCACCTGCGCCGAGCTTGAGCGAAAACCGCGGGAGGACCCTCCGCCTCGGGGACCCTGGAGATCGGATTGAACTAGAATGGGAGCTGCCGTTGCGCTTTGCTTCACCACCGGGCCTCGTGTTAACGCCCCGGCCTCTTGGCCGCGTTCAAGAGCGCATTCAAGCTTGTCGCGCCGGTTCTTTACACCAGGGGTCTCCAACCTTGGTAACTTTAAGCCAGGAGGACTTCAATTCCCAGAATTCCTCAGCCAGCTTTGCTGGCTGGGGAATTCTGGGAGTTGAAGTCCTCCAGGCTTAAAGTTGCCAAGGTTGGAGACCCCTGCTTTACACTGCTTTTAATGCCTGAGATGGGAAACTGTTCCTTTTTCTTGAGGCTCAATCCGTCTGCAGCCATAACCGAGCGCTCGTACTGTCTGCAAGGCACTCATGGGGGAGAGACTATTCAGAAGGCGACTTTGCGGGACTTTAGGGAGCCACAGGTGTGAAATGACACCAGGTCGCTCTCTCTCGCTTTCTCACCCACTGGTGGCCTCCCCAAAGGGCGGGTGGACATGGCTATCTTTGGCAGACGGTATGCCTGAATAAGCCCCCCCAACCAGCAGCTTTTTACATTCCTTGTTCCCCTTTGGCATTACCTCTGCTCCTGACTTGCGCAGAGCCATGGGATTTTTGGCCTTGCTGTTCGAAAGTCCAGGAACAAAGCAGTATCTCTAATTTATAGGAATTGCTTGTGCACAGCAAGCAGCCCTGCGTTTTGAAAGCAGTGGGAATTAAGAAATAAATCTGCACTGACCAACTGCCTCCATTACTATTCTCCCCATTCTGGTCACTTTCTGCCTTTAGCTGAACCAAGCTCACCTTGCTGGCTTTTAAAACTTCCAATGCCCTGCTTTTCATCTGCTGCTACTATTATCAGTACTAATGATCTGTCCAAGGCATTAAATAAGGAAAGCATTTTACCATGTTTGGATACACTCCAAAGATAAGTGCTTTTAAGGTATTGTTGACTTCAGTAAAGGAGAGGGTTAAGAACATCATTCAGCCTCTCCTAAATCAGCATGACTGATTTGTGCATAACTGGCTGGCCAATTCCTGTAATCTTTTTTGGCCCCAGCATTGCTGTGATGGAAATTGTATCTTCACATTATGGAGAAACAACTAAGGTCATCCAACTGAAAAATGATTAGTACTCAAGTCTTTTATCTCTTTGGTTTGCAAATTCTTGCCTACTATAGTGTACCATACCCCATACAAATTTACTCCATGTTTTCCTTAGCTTATCGTACATGCTGGGCATTAATGAGTATTTGCATAATTTCAGTCTATTGTGTCAGTCTAGCCAAATAATCATCAAGAAAGACCTTTTCAAATATTGCAGCATGTTTACTTTACACCAAATCCTGAGAGAGGACGTGTGACTGACGTGTTCCTTGCATAGTTTGTTTTGTGAGTTGAGCGGGAACATCTTTTCCAATTTTTTTTCTTAGAAACCTGTTTAATTCTCTCCTTCTCTCCTAAGTCTGTCACAAGAGAAATCAAAGACTGAAATACAACAGGCAGGACTAACCCTAAGCCAGGTATTAATCCGCTGAATTTATATCCTGCTATGATAACACTTGGCATGTATGAAAAAAAATGAAATGATTAAAACGCAAACAACATAAAGAAGGAATAAAAATAATAATTACAAAAAAGCCAAAGTGCAGATTTGTTTTACTGAGCCAGAGCTTAGCTCTGTAAAATATGAAATGATTTTAAAAATACATTGAATTGTACAGACACACTGTATCTTCCCATCAGCACTATTCAAAATTGGCTTTTTGCTGCTCCAACAATATTTAAAAAATACTAATTTGAGAAAAGGAAGGTGGACTAAATATTTTTAAATAAAATGTCGTGAGAAGTCAACCAAGAGAGTTTGAAAGAGGCCTATGTAATGTCAGAATTATCACTGGCAATATAGGTGGGCCTATTTTAGTTACTGGCCTCATTAACCAATGGTGATGAAAAAGTTAACTTTGTCACCATTCCTTGCATTTCCTGTGACTGTCATAGGCCTGTAAAGCAAAGGAAAGTGAAGAAAGATCACAAACACAGTCATGGTTTTATTTATGGATGTCTCATTTAATAATTGAGTTGCCAGTTCCAATTGTAATCACTAAATGAGGACTTACTGAGATTGTGAGACCTATCTAAATAATAGTGATGGGCTTAACTCCATTTAAATATCTGGAAGAGTGTTGTGTTTCAATTCTCCTTTACTCCAATATTGCACTGCACTGAATCATATAGATGATTCCTCCCATTTTAAATGGATTAGAAATATTCTGAGGTAAAATGATTTTGTTAGTAATTAAAAAGTTACAACAAACATTACCAAGGACAGATAACCAAAATTATGGATTCAGGCAAGATTTGAATATTAGTAAACGTAAATCTTTTACATTACATGCTACATGCATTTTTTAGAATTTTAGCATATTGTAATTTTAGTCAGGATATCATGCCAATTGTATCAGGATCGGTGATGGTATTCTACCAGTTTGGCCCAGTTCATGCGAACTGGTAGTATAAAATGTTACCGTTCGGCCAAACCGATAGTTAAAAAAAAGAGCTACCTGTTCAGCTGAACCAGTATTTCTTTCTTTCTTTCTTTCTTTCTTTCTTTCTTTCTTTCTTTCTTTCTTTCTTTCTTTCTTTCTTTCTTTCTTTCTTTCTTTTTTCCTCTCAATGATCAGCTGTTCCGATGATCAGCTGTGCCCGGATCCCCCTCGCTGTCTTATTGCTTTGCCCAGGAGGCTTCCCTGAGGCCCAGGAGGTCAAAAAATTGAGTGCAGGCAGGTGACTGATGACTGATCCATTTATTGGTAGTATTTTTACCTCACTCCAAGTCCAAAGGATTCTTGGTGGTGAGTAGAATAAAGGAATATAGTGGGAAACTGCTTTAGTTACTAAAATTTTCTCTTTGAAAGAGCAATCTTTTAAAACATATCACTTTATATGAACACGTGCAGACACTGCAAGAATCTAGTACTTGAACTTTGATCTACTGAGGCTCCAGAACAATAGCCAATAACTCCATTATATGTGTTGACATGTTACAGTCATGAAGGGTTTACAGGAAACTAGGAACCAGCTATGACTTCATCAATGATTCAGTATTTGGAACAATGCTAAACTGACAGATTTTCCCAACTTGATGCCGTCCAGATGCGCTGGACTTATTTTCATTCTTACTTCAATAGGCTACTGAGCAAGGAAAAGGTTCCTTTCATTTTAACAAATGTACAGAAGAAATTATGGGTATAACAATTGAAAGTTCAATCAGACCCTGGATATAACAAAGAAGCCCTGTCAATCCTTGCTCAAAAGCCTCTGAAGATGTCAACCACAGCTGCTGGTGAGACATCTGAAATGTTTGAAACCTTCTAGTTCTTTTCAGTCTGCTAGACTATACAGGTAATCCTCAACTTATGTCCACAATTAAGTCCAAAATTTCTGTTGCTAAGTGAGATATTTGTTAAGTGAGTTTTGCCCCATTTTATGATTGCCACAGCTGTTAAGTCGATAAATTAGTAACATGGTTGTTAAGTGAACCTGGCTTCCCCAATGATTGCTTGTCAGAAGGTTGCAAAAGGAGATCATATCACCTTGGGACACTGTAGTGGTCGTAAGTATGAATCAATTGCCAAGAGTCTGGATTATGATCATGTGATCATGGGGATCCTACAAAGGTTGTAAGTGTGAAAAACAGTCATAAGTCACTTTTTTCAATGCCATTCTAACTTTGAATGGTAGCTACTGTTGTAAATCAAGACTAACAAAATATAAACGATAACAGAAAAGTATCTTTATAGATTTCTTAAATGCAGGGGTGGGATTCTACCAGTTCGCACCTATTCGCTGGAACTGGTTGTTAACATTCTAAGCAGTTCGGAGAACCGGTTGTTAGAAGA